GGGCTCAAACTCACGAACCGTGAGATCATGCCCTGAGCCGAAGTCCAACCCTTAACCGAATGAGCCACCCAGGCGCCCCTATCTCACCTTTCTAAGTAATGTCCCTATAATAGTTCCTGAGTTTTCACTTCTAGTTATTACTTGTGGCAGCCTAACTACAAACAGCCCCCAGTGATCCCTGCCTCCTGGTGCTCACACCCTTGTGCTGTCCCTCCTACACTGTCTCAGGGTTGGCTTGTCTGGCTGGGCCACATGTACTTCTGAGCAATTGGTGATAAAGTCGGGGCAGGGTTGAGGGGGGAGTGTTCCCCACAACCCTCTTCTCAGGTGTAATAATTTACTAAAATGGCTCACAGAACTCAGGGAAAATGGATTACATACTGTTACTGGTGTAATCATAAAGGGATACACCATAAAGGGACAGTGTAAAGGGATACAAAAGAACAGCCAGATAAAGAGGTACATAGGGCAAAGTCTAGATGGGTCCTGAGCACAGGAGCTTCTGTCCTTATGTGTGCCACTCTCCTCACACATGGCTACCTTCACTAAGCTGGAAGGTTCCCAGGGGTCAAAGGGTGGGACTGAAATTCCAACCCTCTAATCACATGGTTGCCTCCTCTGGGAACCAGCCCCCATCCTGAAGCTATCTAGGGGCCCACAAAGAGTCACCTTATTAGCATAAACTCAGGTGTGGCTGAAAGAGATTTGTAATGAATAACAAAGGACACTCCTATCACTCAGGAAATTCCAAGGGTTTTAGAAGTTTTTGTGTCAGGAACTGGGAACAAAGACCAAATATTATAACAAAAGATGCTTTTATCACCCCTATTCAGGAAATTCCAAGGGTTTGAGGAGCTCTGTGCCAGAAACCAGGGAAAAAGACCAAATACATATTCTTATTATATCAGAATATCATAGGGCATATGCACAATATGTTTGAAAATGTCTTTATTAGCCTTAAACCTGGGTGACAGTTTAGCTGGCTATAAAATTCTAAGTTGGGAATATATTTTTCTATCAGAATTCTGAAGGCATTGCTCCAATGTCTTCTACTTTGTTGCTTTTGAGGAATCTAATGCCCTTCTGAACACTAACCCTCAGTATGTGACTGCTCTCTCTAGAAGCTTTTAGTACTTTCTCTTTATTCTCAGAGTTCTGAATCTAACAGGATTATACCTTGCTGTTGGTGTCCTTTATTCAGCGTGCTTTATCAATCTACAGACTTGATTCTAGTTCTTGGAATACTTTTCCATCCTATTTCTTTGATAATTTCCTCCTATTGTCTATTTTTTCTTTTCCAAAATTTCTATTAGTCGGATGTTAGGCCTCTTGGAATGTGCCTATATTTAAAAAAAATTTTTTTTAATGTTGGTTTTTTTTTTAATTTTTTTTTTAATTTATTTATTTTTGAGAGACAGAGAGACAGAGCACAAATGAGGAGGGGCAGAGAGAGAAGGAGACAGAATCTGAAGCAGGCTCCAGGCTCTGAGCTGTCAGCACAGAGCCCGACGTGGGGCTTGAACTCACAAACCATGAGATCATTACCTGGGCCGAAGTTGGACGCTCAACCAACTGAGCCACCCAGGCGCGCCCCTTTAATGTTTATTTTTGAGGGGGGAGGGGCAAGGGGCAGAGAGAGAGGGAGATACAGAATCCAAAGCAGGCTCCAGGCCCTGAGCTGTCAGCATAGAGCCCAACATGGGGCTCAAACCTATGAACCACGAGATCATGACCCAAGCCAAAGTCAGATGCTCAACTGACTGAGCCACTGAGGCGCCCCATGTTTTTTTCACCTGTTCCCCATTTTCCATCTCTTTCATTTGGTCAGTCTCCTGGGAATCTTCTTCAGCTTTATCTTTCAATATTTCTGTGTTGTAGCTTTTTATAAGGCTATGGTGTATTTTTAATTTCCAAGAGGCCCTTCTTGTTTTCTGAAGGTCTCCCCCATCCAGCTTTTTACTGAAAGAAGCTTATTCATCTTTCACAAATGCAGTATTTTCTCTAACCTTTCTCAATATTATAGTCAGGGGCACCTGGGTGGCTTAGTTGGTTAAGTGTCTGACTCTAGACTTCAGCTCAAGTCATGATCTCATGGCCATGAGATCAAGCCCTGTGTGGGCTCTGCACCACTGGCCCAGAACCTGCTTGGGATTCTCACTCTCTCTTCCCCTCCTCCATGCTCTCTCTTTTCTGAGACTCTCAAAATAAATAAATAACCTTTTTTTTTAAAATGTTAATTTGGGGCGCCTGGGTGGCGCAGTCGGTTAAGCGTCCGACTTCAGCCAGGTCAC